GCTCCCCTGTATTTGCATGGTCCAGCACTTGACTTCATAATATTTCTTCTCTTTTCGCCTATTTACAATTTCAATCATTTTATTCATGCAAAAATTCACACCACATTATTTGTTTTTCTTTTTAAATTCTTAAGGTATTCTATTTTAGTATTTCAAAGTTTAATCTTAGTTCATGTGGATACGACCTTGTTTTATACTACAACTGTATATTATAGTATATACTTGCACTGGTTTTTCATGTAAATTGTGGACACGTAACAAGTTTTTGGCGCCATTGCTGGGGATTAAGCTATTTTCACTTTGATTTTAGCAATTTAGAATATGGAGCTTAAAGAGCTGTCTTAACTTTTCTTTTGGTGCTTTTGCGTAGTGAATGAACGATTTCCCTGCTTTTGAGTTTGAGTTTGACCCAGAGATCGAACGCACTCTTAGAAGGAGAAAGGCCAAGCAAAGAGTCTAGCATTGAGAAAGACTTGAAATGGCTGATCCACCAAACCCACAATATTTGAGTAGAAAAAGTACCCAGGGATGGAGTTGGAAGACCTGTCCTAGCACCTCCTCTGAACGTTGTTTTGTTGGTAGATGATATGGAGCAAGAAATACGAGCGTACGCAACCCCAGCATTCTACGACTTCAACCCAATGATTGCAGATCATAATATTGAAGCCAATAGATTTGAGCTTAAACCAGTATAGTTTCAAATGCTCCAGACCGTAGGATCATTTCATGGACTTTCATCAAAAGATCCTCATCGCCACCTATAAATTTTATGCAAGTTGCCAATTCATTCAAGCTAGAAGGAGTAACCAAAGAGGCTATGCAATTGAAAATATTACCTTACTCCTTGAGGGATAGTGCTGGAGCATGATTAGATTCATTACCATATGAATCCATCACTTAATGGAATGACTTAGCCGAGAAGTTTTTTATGAAATATTTCTCTCTATCCATAAATGCAAAACTTAGGAGCAACATCAACAATTTCCAGCAACTTCCAAGAGAATCGTTGAGTGAGTCATGGGAAAGGTTTAAGGGCTTACTCCATAGATGTTCACATCATGGTATCCCACGATGTATTCAGATAAAGACTGTTTATGCAAAGAATTGCACAACGGGGTTTGCGAACCTAGCTCGAACCCGATCACCAACTCGACCCGAACCATGGAGTGAACCTGCACAAGAGGGCAAACTCTCCGACGATCAAATCAGTATAGGTTGGACTCAATATTAAGTTCGAGGTGAGATTCCATACCTGAGTGTAAAATGAGGCCTTCTATTTATAGGTGGTGGGTCCGACAGCACTTACGACCGACGGTTATCCTTGTCTTTTATCATGTCGAACCTGTCGGGGTTGAGCAGCTCGAACCCATTTAGGTCGAACCCTGGCCTTTACACTTAGCCTTGCATATGGATGAATTAGGTCTCCTCGGCAGGTTCGAGGTGGACCTGGAATACTCTTTTTATTTCTAAACACCACTGAGAGTCCTCCACGTGTCCACGATATTTTTATCCCCAAACATTGGCCCCCTCTCTGTCAGGTTTGATCTCGATCTGGCAGAGAAGTTACCTGATTTAAATTAGGACACGTGGCGACTTCTGATTCGTAGAGTAAATATAATCGTTGTGGAGGTGGAAGACGTTTCGACCTGCTAGGCTGTCGGAGCACTTGAGTATTCCGACGCTTCAAATTTCAAGATGATCCCAGCCGCTCGTTGACGTTCCCGTTAGGTTCGGGAATTTAGGTATGAGGTCGTTTTGATTATTTTCGCAACTTTAGATCTTACTACTCTGGCTTTTCATATCTAACTTGAATTCTCCTCCGTCTTGTGTAGTTTCAATCAAACCAATTCCCGAGCTAACTCAAGCATCTTGGGATACTCTCAAGTATTACAAGGATCGCTTCTCAAGTGGCAGGAAGGTCGGAACCTTGGTAACTGACCGGCTGTTACTGGAGTCCGGGTTGTTAAACTACAACCCCTTAGTGCGCCCAGTTGAAGCTTCAAGACCAAACTCTGAGCTCGGTAAGTCGAGCTCAACCTTGATCATAATTTGTTTTTTCGATTTTGGTTTCTGACCTTCTGCTTGCTTGTTTTGCAGTGATGGTGTTAGAATTCACAGGCAGCGTGAAACGTAAGTCCAGGGGTCGTGCTCACGCCTTTAAGACTGTTCAAAGCACGGAGCCAACAACTTCTACTGTTGCTCGATCTGCAGCTCAAGTCAAGGCTGGGCCGTCTTCTGAAGTCCCAACTCCGGTGATCGAGTTGGACTCTGCTGGGGAGCACTCTAGAGAAAAGCGTCCAATGAATGAGTCCGAGGCACTGGACGTGTCACCTCTGTGCGAGGTGAGAGAAGACTCTCCTCT